ATTTTAGCTAATAAATTTTGTATAGTGCCACATATCTAAGTAAAAAGAAATAATTAATGATTTATCTGGAATCAGAAAACTATGATAGGTAAAATGTGGCCCACACCCTTTGTTTTTTATGTAAATTTTTATTGGAATATAACCATGCTCATTAGTTTATGTATTGTCTGTTTTTGCACCACAATGACAGAGTTGAGTAGTTGAAACAGAGACCATGTGGCCTTCATAGCCTAAAATACCTACTGTATTTTAGCATTTCATGTAAAAATGTTTGCTGGCTTCTGACATATATTATTGGTAAGTCACAAATTGCAGAGATTTGTCTTATTTCTATAATTTGACTTATTTCAAAAAATTTCTCAACTAATGACAGATGACAATATTAATTGAGTTTTTTACTGGCTGGTAAGTTGATGAATTAAGCCATTAAGACTGTGAATGAAATTCAAGTACATTTTCATTTATCTTTAATGTTTTCTCTTATATAATAATTCTACCTAGGGTACAGCTTGTTCAAACTCATCCAATTCTTTTTCACAAAGAATGGTACTGCTTTTATATGCTTTGAGTTTTTCTACTAAAATTTCTACAAATCAGTTTTGACTTAGGATTTTGAGGGAATCATAGAATAGCTATCTATCCCTTTCCCTAGCTGTTGTGGTTCTCATTATTTATTTTGTTGTTGTCATTATCATTACTATCCTCATCATCATTATCTTTAACTGGTTTTAGAAGAGTATATAGCTTCAAGGCTTTATGCTTACTTCTAATAAATTAGTATTTAGATTCTCATTTTGAATCTTTTAGAATAAGCAGTCATTAAACCACAGAAGAATGTTTCTTAAAATGTGATTCATAGATTATATAAATCAGAATCATGTAGAAAAGTGCTTCCTAAACTTTGTGTTTATGAGTCTCCTGGTAGTTCTTTCATTAAACATAGTTTCTGATTTAGAAAATCTAGGGTCTGACCTGAGATTCTGAATTTCTAATAACCTTCCAACCTCTGCTGCTGATTGTGGACCACACTTTGAATAGCAAGGACTGAGATACCTGATACAATTCCTAAGTCTTATGCCTCATTCAGGACTATGGATCATAAATTTTGTGACTTGAATCTGGGATTATACACTTAAAAAAGATATTTCAGCGGCACCCATAGTTCACAGGGCACGTACACTGTGGGGCTCAGGCCACATACACTGTGGCTGGCAGGTTCGAACCTGGCACAGGCCAGCTAGAACAACAATGACAACTGCAACAAAAAAATAACTGGGTGTTGTGGCAGGCACCTGTAGTCTCAGCTACTTGGGAGGCTAAGGCAAGAGAATTGCTTAAGCCCAAGAGTTGGAGGTTGCTGTGAGCTGTGATGCTACAGCACTCTACTGAGGGTGACATAGTAAGACTTCTCTGTCTCAAAAAACAAACAAACAAACAAAAAGATACTTCTACATATTGAAGATTAAAAATTATTGCTATAATTTAGTGGTTCTTAACTGTGGACGTACATCAAAATCACCTAAAGTTTTTAAGACAGTATTGCAAAATATTACCTCAGAACTACTGAGATATTTGTTTTTAACATACAGAATCATTATATACCTGGTTTTGAATGTAACTGGGTTCATTAGTACATTTATAAATATCATATAAGGCACTGCAGTCTTAATTGAATTACTGAAGTCATCATGCCAAGAACGTCAGTGTTTGTCTGGAATCTAGAAAATGAATAGGCTTAAAATTGAATTATGTTACAACTTGGGAATGAGGGTTATTTCAACATTGAAATCTGCCAATAATTTTTCTACTGCATAATGTCTATAATTTTGAATCACTATGTCAAAATATGTATATTTCTTATGTGTTATGAGAGTATTCCTCATATACTAGGATCTATGGGTGTAGTCATGACTTGTGAGTTTTTTATGAGTTAATAAAATAATTTCCACTTGTAATTTTTTATGCTAGACTAATGGAAACATTTCATATGATTTGAATAAACAAATTCATACAAAAATACTGCCACACAGGTTCAATAGTAAAGTTAAATTTGCATTTATGATTATTTTCGCACCAAGCAGTATTACTTAATTGCTATGGATTAGTAAAGAAACAGAAATGAACTATGCACATATATCATGCCAGATGATTGAGACGTTATGTGTATTGGTGCACTACGGAATAAAAATATTCAAAGCAGAGTAGATAAAAGTGGTAGAGAAAAAATCAAAAAACACAATGTGTAGACACACTAAACTCAAAAGAACTCATGTTGTTTGAGCCATATCTGTATTGTGAGTTGATTTTATTTCTGTAAAAACATCATCTATAAAATAAGGTTATTCCTTTGAATTCTAGTTGTAGTTTTATTTGTATTCAACTTATTTTTATGTGTGTAAAATATAAGTAGGAAGAATATTAATCTTTATAAGTTATAGAATTTCTAAAAGTATGTCAAAAGTGACGATTTTTCAGCAAAAAGTTTTTGAAGATCTGTACATTTTTCAAGCTTGAGAAATTTTTGTTTTGATTTTTAATGGCGAAATTTAAATAAACTTTCTACAATAGCTTTTTGGATGTTTTTTACTGTAATTCCTTTCTTCTTTGAACTCTTTATAGAAATTCAACATTTCACCTTTAGTTTTCTTACTTGTCTATTCATTTTATCTTTCCTACTAGATAGTATGCTTTTTGAGGGAGAAGAAGTATGTTTTTTGTAATTTAGGACAATTTTTTTTAATATAAAAAGTTACTTAGTGTTGTAGCATACTCTGAGAAAGCCTAAAAAAAAAAAGTTATTTAGTGAAGGCTGCATGAATGGAAGAATGGATAGAAAGCTAAAAATATCTTAGAATCTGATTTACTATAGAAGGATGATAGTCAACAAAGTTATTTTTCTCATGTTCACATGTAATAGAAAAAAAAATCCTTGATCTAGCAGGTAGTGTCATATTGTTCTTTTTCACTGGGTTCAGATAAAATCTGGCAGTCTTTCTCAACTAGTTGTTATAACCAAACCTTTTTGACATCGAGGGTCTAGTTTCTTTTTAATTAGGATTAGAAAAAAGTAGTTTTTAGTTCAAGGAGTTCTAGTTTTGTCATATTACGTAAACTTACCAGTTCTTAACTTGTTAACTATGGAAATAACTAAGTATTATAATATTGAAGTTTGATTTTTTTTTTTCTACTTGAACCTCTGTATTTGTATCTTCTTTAATGAGATTAGTGTTTACTTTCCCTGTGATTCAGCAAAGGTGATTTTAAATCTTCTTTAAAATGAGTTTCCTCTTCCTACTTAAGACTGAAGTAAAAATTGATTGTTCATTGCTTAAAAACATAACCACCAAGTTATTTCCTATGCAACATTATTAATATCCCTTGGTGACAGCAATTCTAGGCTTTAAGTTTTAATCATAATGGTTCATTATCATAAAGGTTGCACATTAGACTGTCAGTTAGGTCTAATTGCTTATGTCATACAGGGCTTTTAGTTTTCTGGATATGGTGTACAGGGTGCTTTCAACAGCATACTTTGAACCATATGGTTCTAAGAGGTAGGCTATCTAAAAAGTCAATGAACCAGGATGAGAATATAATCTGAACACACTTGATGTTTCTTCATTCTTACATAAAGTGTACTATGCAGAATCCTGTTGAAGATTTATCATTCACTTTATAATGATAATATATTTCTATAATATATATTATGATATTATTGATCTCTCTGGTATCAGAATTCTATTCAACTCTTCTCAGAATGTACTAGCTTCTCTTTGAAATTAACTGTAGAAAATATGAATGTAACCACAATGTAACTATTGTTATTCAATCACATTTTCAAGTAAGAGATAACTGTGAACTTCTCCTTCTCTTACTAAGGGTGACTAAAGAGCATGATTAGGCCAAACTGTAGAAAATGATGATATTGTCACTGGAAGACTCTGATAAATTCCCATATTTCACATATAGGAGTCACAGTTATTCCAACTGTAGAACAGGTCTTAAAAAATGTACTTTGTTCAGAAAGTACGTTGTGAAGATGAGAGCACAACAATAAAACTAAGGGAAAAGTACAGTGGATCTCTGACCTTTTAAATTTTCTTTTTACTATTTAGATGCCAAATATCTGAATAAAATATATGTATAATTTATATCTCATTCAGGTATAGGTGTGAACTATTAACATTTCATATATATATATATATATATATATAGTGAACTATGAAATTTATTCATATGTACCTAATTTGTATTTAAAGTAAAATATATATGTATATATTTGAAACAACACCTACCTCTGTTGCCCAAGTCAGAATATATATCATTAGTAAGTATAGCCTCAAACTTCTGAGCTCAAGCAATTTTCCAGCCTCAGCCTCCTGAGTAGATAGGACTCCAGATGCATGCCATCATGCCCAACCAATTTTTAAAATTTCGTAGAGACAGAATTTCACTATTGTCTAGGCTAGTCTCAAACTCCTAGCCTCAAGTGATCCTCCCATCTTGGCCCCTCAAAGTGCTAGGATTACAGGTGTGAGCAGCTGGTCCTGGCCTTGAAGTGAATCTTATCTAACCAAACCAAACAAACTAAAAAACAATGTAACTTAGTGAGAAAAGCATAATTTTGTAACCAAGCAGGAATGGATTTGAATCTTATTAGTTTGCCACTTACTAGTTTTCAGTCCTAGGCAAGTAACAAAAAAAACTTTCAGCCACAGTTCCCTCTTTATAAAACAAAAATACATATCTATCTTCCAGTACTACTTTTAGAATTAGAAATAATGTAAATTAATGCTCATATAGATACTTAACAATAGTCATTTTTAAAAAAAATGTTCTGTTTTATTTCCTACACCCTTAAACTAATAACTAAATGCTAATTAAGTATATAGTACATTTTATTGTTTATATAGCTATCACTATATAATAAGTGTAAGGAAAATCTAATGCTGACCAAATGTAAAATTTAGATATTTTAATTATAATTTTCTTTCTTTCAGAATTACTTACTGTCATCTACCTTTCCAGAGTAAATGGCTCTATGTTGGAACAGAAAGAGGAAATACACATATTGTAAATATTGAATCTTTCATTCTTTCCGGATATGTTATCATGTGGAACAAGGCAATTGAACTGTAAGTTTGAATTTGAATATCAATTTATTTGGAGTAGATACTTCATATACTTATTTAACATATGTTGAATTACAGTTGTGGGATACATCTATTGGTAATTTATAATTGAGTGAAAAGTTGGGCTAAGGGCAGCACCTGTTGCTCAAAAGTGTAGGGCGCTGGCCCCATATGCTGGAGGTGCAGAAGTGGCAGGTTCAAACCCAGCCCCAGCCAGAAAAAAGAAAAAGAAAAGTTGGGCTAAAATAACTTAAAACCATAAAGGTTTAAAAATAGGATTATAATATTAATATTTTAGACTTTACAAATACTATGAATAATCAAGGCTTATATGTATAAAATTTAATAAATTAATAAGGCTCTTCCCACGAATTATAGGTGAAAATCTTCTCACTTTGTTATAATCAACCTTAGTATAGGCACTTTCTTTGGGACTGGATTGTTTTATGTAAAAATCATGATCAAAGGGTACATGTGAATCTTTCTAAATGTAGAATATAAATGTCTTAACACAATAACTAAGAGGATGTCATGAAGGCTGTGTTAACCAGTTTGATGAAAGTATTTCAAGTTGTATATAAAACCAGCACACTGTACCCCATGACTGCATTAATGTACACAGCTATGATTTAATAAAAAAAAAACCATGATCAATGTACATGCTTTTTAATCCCAGTAGCTTATTCTTTTTTTGCCTTATTAAAAGGCACAACAACCTAAGGTTGTTCTGGTTTCAAGGAGAAGTAATTTGTCAATCTCTTCCACGTTGTGATGTATACAGATTTTTTGATATGTGGGTAATGGTAATTATCACTTTGGCACTGAAATTTAAGTTTCTCCCGTGTAAAACGTGAAATTTCCTCAGTGAGGAATTTCATGGAATTCTAAGCCATCTACTTGCAGTACATACATAAACTATTCTCCTGGTCAATTTCTTAATCAGATAAAACAACTTTTATTTAATAAATATTTATGCTATGTACACATTAGGTCCTTAATAAGATGTTTGACTTGATAGTGTCAAGTCAAAATGACTGGCTCGTTTTCTTTCTCATATATATTATATATTACAAAATTATTCTCCAGAATTCTGATTAAAACATTCTATTTTCATGAAGCTTAATTCTGGTAAATGATTTCAATGTACATGTATATTGCTTGATAGAGAAGGTTGTTATACTCTTACTACAATATTCCTTTTGTATTATGTCCTAATGATAATTCTTTGTCCCTCATTAGGTTAAGAACTGCTCTGGGAGAATCTTTATTTTTCTTTTCTTTTTTTCATACCTGGCTTATTGGTGCTTTTTACAGAGTAGCAACTGAATGATTGATGACGTTATCAGAGCATTAGTATGTTAACTAGTTACTACTGTTGCCTTACAACTTTCTTTTATGCTTTCAAGATAATTGGTATGAGCTGTTTTGCTCTTATCTGTATGTGTATTTTAAAAACATCCTTTAGACAATTGTTTCCTCCCACCCCACAAAATACTTTCTTAGCTGTAGGGGGAAAGGCCCTTTAGGGGACTATAGATCTAGTCCCCTAAAAGCAATAAATGAGGATGAACTTAATGCTTTTCAATAATATTATTTTAAGCTAATTGATAAAAACATAAACTTAAGAGAAAATTATGAACTTTAAACAAATACATTAGCACATATTAAAACTTTTAAACAAATTCAATATTAGTACAAATGTGTAGATGCATCATTTGTGTTCAGTTAAATGCTGCTAAAATAATTGAGAAGGATTTATACTCTTAAATATATCAAATATTTCACCATGTTTATAATGTTATTTTTATATTTCTTTACTTAACAAATCCTCTGAACCAGTGACTTGATTTATTCATACGTATATAGTCTATGACTAATAAAGAGTTTTAAAGATGTTATGTTAGAAAGGGTAAAATTTGGAGAAATTGAAGAGGAAAAATAAGACAGTTTTATTTTTCATAGTATGTTCTCATACATATAATTCAGTATTAGGACAGGATTTGCCATTTTGTAAATAAATCCTTTTTTTTATAGAATTGTGCATGCCTCTGAAAGTTTTCTTAAAATATCTTTAAGAAATTATTGTGAAATGTCACGCCATTATCTCTTGAACATCTCTTGATTTGTTTAGATTAGATTTCCATACATGTATTCTATGGAATTATAATTCCATTGTGGTAGATAATATTTTAAATACCAACTTCCAGTCTCCCAGAATTTCTTTTAATTGGTCTCTACCTCTGGAGATGCATTAGAAAATGCATGCTACCTCCTGTTAATATGTGTCAAGTGTATAGGAAAATAATAAAGTATGATTTAATTAAGGAGAGTCATTTTATAAATATTTTAGATTATGAATTATGATAATATATTTTCTAAGTATGACAAATGATTGAATCATGATAATATATTTTCTATGTATGACAAATGGTAGAATTATTTTTTAGAAATATGAAATTATTTCCATTTTGACTCCTAACTTGAAATACATGTGAATATTTATTTTTCGTCTTATCTCCATTTTTAGTGTGCTTCCATAATGCATATTATATATTGGCTATTTTGATCCTGAAGCACATTTTCCATAGAAAGAATGTTGTTTGCAGAATACCTTATAAAATAGAATTAAATTGTCATTACAAAATATTTCTGAAAGAAAATATATTTCAGGTTATATTACAGAGATAAGTATTTTTATAGGACAGCCCCAGCATTGAAAGCAAAGTAACCTCTTTTTTCTATATAGGATTACATTTTGAGCGTGAAATTTATAATTAAATCATATCTAAGGCTGTATTTAGCAGTCATTCAAACATTTTTTAAATTTGAGATAGATACTAGAAACTACTATGAACTGAAACAACATAGTTTTTGTTTTCCTGGGACCTCTAGTCTAATGCAAGTGAACTTAAAAAGGCAATGATAATATACTGGAAATGTAATTTAGTAATTCTATAAAAAGGGCGTCTCTTATATCAAATTAATGTGTTATATCAAACATAGTGTTTCGGAAGTATCTATGAAGGAAGCTACATACGTTTATGCTAAGATGTGAAGGATGAGTTTCAGTTAGATGAATAAAAAACAGGGGACAAAGGTGACAGTGTTCTAGGCAGAGGAAGCAGAAAACGCAAAGGATGGAATGTGAGACTATTTTGTTTCATGCCCAGATATTTTAAGTATTATAGTTTTCAGCTGATTGGAATGGCCAGGGTAGTGATTATAAGAGATAAGCTGGGAGGTAATCAGGGTATATGTATGTATAGTATGAAAAGTTTTGTAAACCAATTTAAGAAGTTTGAACTTATCTAAGGCCACTAGGGAGTTAGATTTTGAAGGGTTTTGAGTAGAGATTTGTCTTGATCAGATTTATATTTTAGGAATATTACTCTGAATGTAGATATGAAGAAATAATTAGAAAGAGAAAAGACTATTTTTAGTAAAAAATGATGGTGGTTATAGGGGTAGAGGTAAGCTGAGACATTAAAGAAATATTTAGAATATAGAAGAGACAAGAAAAATTAAGAAAAGTTAAGGGTGTCCACCCAGTGTTTGGCTTGAGCAACTGTGTGTAATGGTGTCATTTAGTGAAAGAGTATAGATTGAATAGATTAAGAGTAAAATAATGAGTTCAATTTTAGGTAGATTGAGTTGAATGTTTTTTAAAGACATTAAATGGAGCTGGTATGGAGGAAGCAGGAGGTGGAATATCTTGGATATGAAGGTAAGGAGATAGATCAGAATTAACATGAGTGTTGAAACTATGAGAATAGATTAAATTGTACATGAAGAATTAAAAAATGTAAAGAAGAGGTAACAAACCAGTAGCTATTGAACCAATTATGAATCATAGGTATGTTAGAGAATATAAAGAAGAGGTAACATACTAGTAGTTGTTGAATCAATTATGAATCACAGGTATGTTTTATCTGGTCAAAAGAGTATTTACATATGATATGAATTTTTAGTTTCTA